TCCCCTCCTCCTCCTCCTCCTCCTCCTCCTCCCTCCTCCTCCTCCTCCTCCTCCTCCTCCTCCTCCTCCTCCTCCTCCTCCTCCTCCTCCTCCTCCTCCTCCCCTGGGAGCCGGCTGGATGGCCACAAGAGTGGCTGGGCACAAACCAGGCAGTGCCAAGCGGGGTCACCACTACCCCAGAACCCCTCGCGATGTGAAACAATCACGACGGGAGGTTTATTTTCAGCCTCTGTGGGCCCCTATCGGGCCCCGGGAGCGTCAATTAACGATCAGGATGCAAAACCGGTCCAGGGGAAGGGGTCCAGACCCCTCGGGGTCGGCGTTGCAAAAAAAACACGACGTCGCGGGTCTGAATCAGGTGATCGCCAGATCGAGGTGAAGGGCTGAAGTGCACATCTGCGATTTGGAACGGTGTGGGGGGTGGGAGCCTGGTGGGGGGACTGAGGTGGCCCAGCACTGGTTCTGGCCAGCAGGAAGGGCGGGCAGGTTCGAGGCGCCGGGTTAGGGAAGAGTTTTCTGCCTGCCCTCGGCCTCTGGGGGCCGTCTGCGGTTCGGGGGACTGACAATCTGCACCGGCTGGACCCCGGGAGGGGTCCAGGCATCGATGCTGGGCGGACTTGACATCACCCTTCCCTACTGGCTAATGTCCTGGGGCCGCCGGCCGCCTCCAGCCCTCCCCCCCCTCCCCCCCCCTCCACAGGGGGGCCCGACAGCCGCGCGCCAAACGGCCACCCTGGCCCTCGCATGGTCGCTCCTTGCGCGCGCCGCCGTCCGTCGGGGGAGACAAGACGCCGCAAGACGGGCGAGGGAAACAAAAAAAGCAAAGAAAAAAAACGCCGTAAGCATAAACTTGTGGGTCTCCGCGTGGATCTGTTGGGTCGGCGCTGGGACCCCAAGGCGGCGCCGGAGGCGCCACCCTGGGCACGCTCCGCTCGCCAGGGAGGGGGCGGGGGTTCACCGTCGACCCAAGCAATGCGCGCGGAGCTCTGGCAGTGTATGTTTATGCAGTTTTTTGCTCCTCTACACATCTGGCGGCTAGACATGCGGCGGCTCGACCACTCGAATCGAGGCGTCAGCTTTGTGCTGTTTTTTGGTTCGGCATGGCTGGCTTGGGGCCCCGACCCCATTAGGAGGCAGCGCGGGGTGAAAAGCCGGGCCTTGAGCAAGTGGGGTTCAGCGTCGATCCACGCAATCTGCGCGGAGCTCCGAACGTGCATATTGTTGCTTCCTTTTTTTCTCCACGACTGAGAGGCCATCCTCCGACATGACGTTCCCCGCCCGCAGCCCCAGAGGTCCCGGCCCTGTGGGGCACCCTGACTCCGGATCCGCCCTACTTTGGGGAAATTCGCAAGTTGGGGCTTGGAATTTCCGCCTTATTTTTCAAGCCCCGCTGATGCCAATTTCCGCCCTACTTTTCTGTTGCTGTTTCTGTGGAGTTCCGCCCTATTTTATGTTGGGTGCAGCAATTTCCGCCCTACTTTCTCGGCTCCTTATAGGTGGATTTCCGACGCAATTTTAAGTTGGAAAAATAGCCAAAGTAAGGCGGATCCGGAGTCAGGGCAGCTCTTCCCGCCCCGGCTCGATTTTTGAGGACCCTCGGGCCGGGTCGCGGGCCCAGGAGACAGGGGCCGAGGCAGAGCCGCCGGTTGCAAACATCACAGCGTCGGAGCCCCGGCCCCCCGGCGCGACCGCCAGGCCCGGCCACGCGCAAGAGACGGCCACGACGACGACGACGACGACGACGACGACGACGACGACGACGACGACGACGACGACGACGACCGACGACGACGACCGACGACGACCGACGACGACCGACGACGACGACGACCGACGACGTTGACGACGACGACCGACGACGACGACGACAACGACGACTACGACGACGACGACGACGACGACGACGACGACGACGACGACGACGACGACGACGACGACCGACGACGACCGACGACGACCGACGACGACCGACGACGACCGACGACAACGACGACGACGACGATGACGACGACGACGATGACGAAGACGACGACGACGACGACGACGACGACGACGACGACGACACCGACAACGAGGAGTGGTGGTCCGCCGTCGGCGGACCGCTCGCGACCCCCCAGAGGTCTGGACCCCTTCCTGGGGTCCTGTCTTTCATCTCAGCGGCGAGACCCGAACCCTGCCCTCGCCGGTCCACGGCTCAGGCCACTCGAGGGGCGGTGGGGGTACAGTCGGGGCCCTGAAGAAGGAACGCTTTTCGTTGAGGAGGGGCTCGGTGCTCCTTGATTGTTTTACAGTTTGCCTCGGGTTTCCCTTCAGTTTTTTGTGTGGAAAATCGAAGTTTAACTCATGGAAAAGAGGGGCCTCGTTTCTTATCTAGGGTTCCTTAGGTCAACGCCCCGACTCTAGGGCGCGGAATGCGTGGATTTCGCGGCGAAATCCAATCCCTACCCCCGCCTCCCATCGATCCAGTCATCCCGAGTTGCTCTCCGACGGCCCCGAGGGCCCGGTGAGGGCCCCCCGAGGCCAGCAGACGCGAGCAAAAGTCTTCCGCCGTGAGTCCCTCACGACTGGATGGCCTGGCATCGCTCGGACGTGTGCGTTTTTTTCTTTCGGCGAGGACCATCGAGGAGCATCCTTGATCACTTGCCGAAAACACCACGCGCGAAACCGACAAAAAAACACAGGGAATGGCCGTCCGAGCGAGGGCCAGAGGGGGGTCGGGGCTCCTTGCCCGGAGGGCCAAACAAAGAGCTGCAAACAGACGTTCGGAGCTCCGCGTGCACTTCTCTCTCGGAGCGGCGCCGGGCCCCCCCCCCACCCCTGGCTCGGAGGGCGCCAGGGGCGGCGCTGCGACGGCGCCGGCGGTGGGGCCCCCGCGCCGATCTGAGCAAAGTCCGCACGGAGCTCCGACCGCATCTTCTGCCCGCGGCGGGGGCGTATCCACAGCCACCGCCGGGGGGGTCCGTCTTCGGAGCCTCGGCAGGCGGCGAACATGGGCATGCTCGGGTCCCCGGGGGCCGAAATATATGGTCGAGGGTTCGGGCCCCCCCCCCCACACCCCCCAATGCTAATGCCATCGGCCCCCCCCCCCTGCGCGATGCCCCCCCCCCCCCCCTGTGGGCGTGGGCGTGGCGTGGTGGCTCCCCCCCCCCCTGTGGATGTGGTGTGGGTGTGGTGTGTTGCTGTGGGTGTGTGCGGGGTGACGCCATGGTCCTCCTCCCCCCCTCCCTCCCCCCCTGTGGGTGCGGTGTGGGTGCGGCGTGTGGCTGGGATTGGCGTCATGTTGACAGCTCCGGTGCTCGACGTCGTCGCCGCCGCCGCTGGTGGTGCCGTCGACGTCGTCGTCGTCGTCGTCGTCGTCGTCGTCGTCGTCGTCGTCGTCGTTGTCGTTGTCGGTGTCGGTGTTGGTGTCGGTGTCGTCGTCGTCGTCGTTGTCGGTGTCGGTGTCGGTGTCGTCGTCGTCGTCGTCGTCGTCGTCGTCGTCGTCGTCGTCCGTCGTCGTCGTCGTCGCCGCCGTCGTTGTCGTCCTCCTCCTCCTCCTCCACCTCCTCCTCCTCCTCCTTCCTCCTCCTCCTCCTCCTCCTCCTCCTCCTCCTCCTCCCCAGCCCATCCCACCTGGGGGGGGGGGGAGGGCCCGAGGACCCTGGGACCCATGCCATCGGGAGGAGGGGCCGTGGGCCCCGAGCCCGCGGTCACATGTCCATATCCGCCGCCTGCTGGGGCACCAGGACGTCGGTTCCCAGGCGGTGGACACGGACAAATCCCCGCCTCGCATTTCTTGCGTGTACTGTTTACGCAGCTCCCCCATCTCTTGGCCTTGACGTGAGGCCCCGCCTTCGTTTCTCCTTCCTCTGTCAATGGAAGCTGTGCGCGGCCCGCTCAGCTTCGACCGGAAGAGGCTCGCCCTCGACCCGCGGGTCAAAAGATGTTTACGCAGCTCTGTCCTAATTATGGTTTTTCCCCAATGACGCCGCCGCCTGCTGGGGCACCAGGACGTCGGTTCCCAGGCGGTGGACATGGATAAGTCCCCGCCTCGCATTGCTTGTGCGCACTGTTTGCGCAGCTCTGTCCCATGGTTTTTCCCCAACGACGAGGCCCCCCTGCGGTGTGGGCCCCCTCCCCGGGGTCGATGTCCCACGGCCCGAGGGGCTCGGCGGATCCGGGTCCCTGCGCGTCGCATTCCAGAGGCGCTCACTGCGGACGAGGTCCCGTTCCTGGAGCACCTGGGCGGTGGCGGCGCGCTCCAGGCGCGATGCTCCCTCGATTCTGCTCCTCTTCCTCCTCCTCCTCCTCCTCCGCCTCCTCCTCCTCCTCCTCCTCCTCCTCCTCGGTCCCCCTCCTCGATCCTTCTCCTCCTCCTCCTCGATCCCCCTCCTCCTCATCCTCCTCCTCCTCCTCCTCGATCCCCCTCCTCCTCCTCGATCCTTCTCCTCGATCCCCCTCCTCCTCGATCCTCCTCGAGGATCCTCCTCGATCCCCCCCCCTCCTCCTCTCCCCCCGACCCCCCCCCTCGCTATCCTCGATCCTGCCTCCTCGACCCCCCCCCCTCGGCCCCCCGCCGTCGCAGCCCCGGGCCCCCTCCTCGATATCCTCCTCTCGGCCCGCCGGGTACCCCCCCCCAGGCCGTGCACGCGCGGGTGCTGCGGGCTGGCACGCTCTCCGCGCCGGGGGCGCCGGCGGTGGGCTGGGTCGAGAGGCTCGGGGCTCAAGAGACGGGGGTCCATGCAAACGGGGGTCAGCCAGGGCACCGGATCCTGCAGGATCCTGCGAAGACCCCCACTGGCTGACCCGGGTTAGCGAGCCGCGAGGCGGCCGCGCATATTGGCTGACCCGGGTTTGCGAAGACCTGCGCTGCAGGTGTTTTTTTTTGTTTTCCTGCACTGCAGCTTTTTGGCTTCCGCTGGCCCGGGCCTGGATGGACCCGGGTCAGAAGATCCCCGAGAGGCTCGCCGGCCTCGCGCGGGACGCGGCCGACGTCCGCGTGGGCCTGGACTTTGCGGCCCGTCGGGGGGACGAAGCTCGGCGAGCGCGCTTGCCCACATGCAGCGCGACAGGAAGATGGCACGGCGCGAGGTGCTGCGCCACTTTCGGCCTCGGGGGGCCCTCGCCGGGCCCCGGGAGCGCCAGGAGGCGGCTCGGGATGCAGAGCCGGTCCCCGGGGAAGAGGTCCAGACCTCTGTTGAGCAGGGACCGACCGTCCCGGCATTCCTATAGTCCTACCACGAAATGTTCTTAGAACCCAAGAATGTTCTAAGAGCAAAAGCAGTGTTCTTAGAACGTTTGCCCGATGTGTTAACCAAGACAGTCCCAACCAGAACTGTTCTAAGAACATTTCGTGGAAACCACAAAAGGGTTCTTAGAACATTGTTTGGTAGGGCCATAGGCGAGCCAGGACGCTTCGCCGCTGCTTGACTCTGGGGCTCGACGTTGTGACAAAAATCACGCCGTCGGGTCAACCCGCACAGCAAGGATGGGCAACCTTCCAAAGGGTACCCTTGCGTCCTTGGCCCTTCGGCCCACTCCCGCCTCGTTCGAAAAGCGTTCACGTGGGCCTCCAAGGCCCTTGCATCCTTACCGCGCATCCTTCTGATACGGGTCGGCTGTACTCGCAAACTGCCTGCTCGCAAACGTCCGTGACAAAAGACACATGTTTGCCTTGGTTTTCATGCATCCTGAATCCCCCGCGGCGGATCCAGGCCATTGGCGAGTAGCTATACTTGGCTGGTAGTGGAACGCGCTTGTCTAGAAGAGCTACCCCTTTGGAAGGGGTCGAGACCTCCAGTGGGCCGCAGATTGAGACCTCCTCCCCCCCCCCTCGCCTCCGCGCTCGACGTGGATCTCGCCATCCCTGCATCTCTGCAGGGGGGAAAGCGATGACATGAGCAACAAAAACTCCGAGGTCCGCGTGGATCCCTCGGATCGGCGCCGGGGGCCCCCCTGGCGTGCGCGCGGACTCTGCGGCCTCTGTCGGAGCATGGAGCGGACGAGGCCACAGGTTTTCCGGCGAGGCGCAGAGGCCGGAGAGCGCCCCGAGGCTGGAGTTCTTCCCCGGCATATAGGGGGCAAACCCCGACCCACTCGCGTCGTGAAAAAATCACGACGGGAGGTTTTTCCTTATTTTTGGCCTTGGGGGGCCCTTACCGGCCCTCGGGACCGTCAAAAAACGACTCAGGGCGAAAAACCGGTCCCGGGGAATGGGTCGAGACCTCGGGGGGTCAACGTCATGAAAAAATCATGACGTCGGGGGTCTGGGAACAGCGACATGCAGTCGGCCCTGACTAGTAGGTCGACCCCGCCAAGTCGAGGGCACCCTTGCGTCCCGTGTCTCGCAACCCATGCCTCCTGTATTCCTATGGCAGTGTGTCCCTCGGAAGGGTCTGATGTCCTCTCCAACGACGACGACGACGACGACGACGACGACGACGACGACGACGACGACGACGACGACGACGACGAAGGACGACGGACGACGACGACGACGACGACGACGACGACGACGACGACGACGACGACGACGACGACGACGGACGACGACGACGACGGACGACGACGACAACGGCGACGACGACGATTATGACGACGACGACTACGGACGACGACGACGACGACGACGGACGATGACGACGCCGACGACGACGACGACGACGACGACGACTTCTACGGTCGACAACGGACGACGACGACGACGACGACGACGACGCACGAGGACGAGGACGACGAAGACGACGAAGGACGACGACGGACGACGACCTCGACGACGACGACGACGACGACGACGACGACGACGACGACGACGACGACGACGACGACGACGAGTGGTCCGCCGTCGGGGGACCACTTACGACCCAACACAGGTCTGGACCCCTTCCTGGGGACTGGTCTTTCATCTCCTCGGCGAGACCCGAAGCCTACCCTCGCCGATCCACGATCCAGGCAACTCGATGGGCGGCGGGTGTAGGGTTCGGAACTCGACGAACTCGCGGCGAAGTCCGAACTCCACCCCCAGCTCCCATCGATCCAGTCATCCCGAGTTGTTTTCGGACGGTCCCGAGGGCCCGGTGAGGGCCCCGGGAGACGAACAGGCACGAGCAAAAATTGTCCGTCGTGTTTCCCTCACGACTCGAGGGGGTCTGGGCTCGCTGCCCGGAGCGCAAGAAGCTGCAATCAGACGTTCGGAGCTCCGCGTGGGCTTCTCGGACCGGCGCGCTGGGCGAGGCGGCGCTTTGACGGCGCCGCCGGGCAGGCCCCCGCGCCGATGCGAGACGTCCGCGCGGAGCCCCGGCCGTCTTCTCTTGTGTGACGAACGAACAACACACACACACACACCCATACCCATAGGGAGGTCGTTGGGAGGAGGACTGGCTATGGGTATGGGTGCGGGTTGTCGGACCCTGGGGAACGCTCCCGTTCGAGCGGGGACCCCATCCGACGACACGCACCCACAGCCCTCTCCGATCCCCCTATGGGTATGGGTGTGTGTTGTTGGTTCGTCATTGCGCGCTCTGTTCACGCAGCTCTCTCTCATCCGTCTTTCCCCGGTGGCGAGGCCCCTCATGAGGTTCGGGAGCCTTGAGACGGGGGTCAATGCAGACGGGGGTCAGCCAGAGCGCCAGATCCTGCAGGATCCTGCGAAGACCCCCTCTGGCTGACCCGGGTCAGCGAGCCGCTCGGGGCCGCGAGGCGGCCGCGCGTATTGGCTGACCCGGGTTTGCGAAGATCTGCGTTCCCAGACCCCCGACGTCATGATTTTTTCATGACGCGACCCCCAGAGGTCCGGACCTATTCGCCGGGACCGGTTTTTCATCCTGAGTTGTTTTCTGACGGTCCCGAGGGCCGGTAAGGGCCCCCAGAGGCGGAAAATATAGAAAAACCTTCCGTCGTGATTCTTTCATCACTCGAGGGGGTCTGGGTTGCAGTTTTGTTTTTTTCTTGCATTGCAGTTTTTGGTTTCCTGCTGACCCGGGTCTGGAGAGAGAGGAGGAGGAGGAGGAGGAGGAGGAGGAGGAGGAGGAGGACGACGACGCGAGAGGAGGAGGAAGAGGAGGAGGAGGAGGACGAGGAGGACGAGGAGGACGACGAGGAGGACTAGGAGGAGGAGGAGGAGGAGGAGGAGGAGGAGGAGATCCCCGAGAGGTCTCGACCCCCCTCCCCGGGGGTCGACGCCGCGCGACCCCGAGGGGCCACTGCGGAGCTCCGCGCGGATCTCTCGGATCGGCGCGGGCCCCCCCCCCTCGGAGGGCACCAACTATACACCTACACCGATCCAGCCCAGGCCGATCCTAGGCCCAGGATCGGTGTATATGCATTCTGCCCATGGCAGGAGGGCGTATACACCGATCCTGGGCCCAGGTTGATCTGGGCAGGGATCGGTGTTGGTGTATAGTTGGTGCCTCCCTACCCCCCCGCCCCTGGCGCGGAGCGCGCCAAGGGTGGAGTCGGGCGCGTGCCTCTACCGGGGGGGGAATGCTCGAAGCTAGTCAACAAAGATTCTGGGGACGGTGGTTTTGACGATTTGGGAGTGCTTATTCCTTGGATTTTTTTTGGTCAAAAAAAAGCGCGCGCCGGGGTGAAGTCGGGCGTGTGCCTCTACAGGAGGAGAACTACTCGAAGCTAGCCAACAAATATTCTGGGGACGATGGTGTTGACGATTTGGGAGTGCTTATTTCTTGGATATTTTTTGGTGGTAAAAAAAATCGGGGGAACAAAAATCGCCCAAACTCCACCTGTAGGGGGACACGCCCGACTGAACGCCAGGGGCGGGGGTCCAGCGCCCCCCCCTGTAGGGGGACACGCCCGACTTGACGCCAGGGGCGGGGGTCCAGCGCCCATCTTTCAGAGACCCGGGCGGGCCCCCGAGTGCGTGCACTCCCCGAGTGCGTGCACTCCAGCCGTGGGGAAGCAGGCAGTGCCAGAGGCCCAGACCCCCGCCCAGAGATCGAGGCTCCCAAGACTCGGGGGCGGCAAAGAGGGGGGCGATGACTGGAGGGGGGTGAATATCATGGCGGGGGCCATGATGTTTCCCCAGATTTCATGGCGCCCCTTCCCATTTCATTACGTCCCTGGTCCCCCCGCTGGGCCGCGCGCATGCCCCCGGTCATGATTTGCACCCGCCCCTCTTGGACACCCTCCTCTTGGCCGCTCCCGAAAGACAAGGGCGGCGGGCGGTTTTTCGCAGTGTTCGGCCTCTGGGGGCCCTCGCCGGGCCTCGGGAGCGTCAAAACAGGGCTCGTGAGCGAGAAGCCGGTCCGAAGTGCTCCAGACCTCCTCGGGGGCCCGCGCATCAAAGATAAGGAGCAGCCAGATGTGCGGGAGTCTACTCATTAGGCGCTTTCCTGCTTGAAGAGTCGAGCGGTTTCCCCCTTCCCGCCCCTTCAGGGGGCGGGCGGAAGCCCAATCTACTTCAACGCCTTCTTGCTTCATGTTTTGTAGGCGCTCTCCTGCTTGAAGAGTCGAGCGGTTTCCCCCTTCCCGCCCCTTCAGGGGGCGGGCGGAAGCCCAATCTACTTCAACGCCTTCTCGCTTCATGTTTTGTAGGCGCTCTCCTGCTTGAAGAGTCGAGCGGCTTTCCCCTTCCCGCCCCTCCAGGGGGCGGGCGGAAGCCCACTCTGCTTCCACGCCTTCTCGCTGCATGCTTCGACCCACTGCTTCCGACCGGCTACAGTCGGGGCGCCGAAGAAGGAACCTTTATTCGTTGGGGAGGGGCTCGGTGTTCCCTGATCGTTGTGCAGTGTTCCTTAGGTTTTCCATTGGGAATAGAAGTTTTACTTGGGGGAAAAAGGGGTCTCGCTTCTTATTTTGGGTTCCTTAGGTCAACGCCCCGACTATATGGGTCGGAGATTTGTTGTTTTTGGTTCCTGGCGTTCTCGATTGTCCTCGGTGGATCTCCAGCCTCGAGGCGCTCCCCAGCAGCTGCGCCCCGCCGAGAGTGCTCCGCGGCGGCCAGAGAGCTGAGTTGTGGCCCGAGATCCACGAGGCAGAGTGCGGAGGGCGCAGGAGGGCCGGC